GCATAATGAGTGTAACTTGAAACTTAGCATGAATTCTCAAACAATACAAATCCGCGTTGTGTTTCATTACCTTGGAGGATATGATTCTCATCTCCTCATCATGCAAGCTATCTCAAAGACTGATGGTGGTTTAACATGCAATCTTAATAATATGGAAAGATATATATCATTCTCGTTGACTAAAACTATACATTATACGGACAAGGATGGGAAAGCGAGAACAAAACAAACTAATGGACTTAGATTTATACATAGTGTACAGTTTCTGTTATCTTCCCTGGACAATTTAGCTCATGCAAACAATCCCGATGACTTTGCTATAACAAATCAATATACTGATTGTTTAACATGGCATTTGTTGCCAAGAAAAGGTGTATATCCTTACGAATATATGGATGATTGGTCCAGAATCGATTAAATTTAATTACCACCCGTTGAATCATTCTATAGTAACTTAACAGAATCGAAAATAAACGGTGCTGATGATAAACACGCTCTTAATGTGTGGGATAAATTAGGCTGCAAGAATTTAGGCGATTATCATGATCTGTACTTAAAAACTTATGTACTGTTACTCGCCGACATAAACTGAGGGCCAAAAGAAACGTTACCAACATTAACTGATTTGCCACTTTGAAACAAAGATGCCAACCTGTTCAAAAACAGTCAAGTACACATCTCACGAATACTGCCTTCATGTTCTCTGTCGTTCTTTGCACGTGCTTTGCGGATTTGAGGAGATATTGGGTTTTTTCAGCAATTTTTTAAACATTCTTTCCCAAATTATCATGCAATTTCCGGGTATAAATTATGCACGGATCTGTTCCATATCATTGGTTCTGATGTTTAACACCAACGGATATGCCAAGACTGACTGCTGTCCAGAGGGAGAGCGCAAATGGGAGCGACACAGAGAGCGGTTGCCAGTAACATGAACTGCTCCAAGATGACCATTACCAGACTGGTCGCACGTCTCCGACAGACTCGCAGAACCGCAGACAGACCACGGAGTGGCAGACCAAAGGTCACGACTCCGCAGGATGACCGCTTTTTACAGGTACTTCATCTGAGGAACAGATTTCTTACTGTGACGTCATTAGCTGCCAACAGCGTAGGACATCCGGTCAGCAGACAAATACTACGATGGGACCTGTTCATAAAACATGTAACATAGGGTTCGGCTGACAGCGAGTGTTTGAACAATCTATAAGTACGAAGTTTATTTCCATTTTGTAAACATCTATTATTCCACAATGCTGAATACCAAAGATATGCTCTTAACATTCCAGCAACAAGTGAACAATTGATTCAGGCTGATTGCATGATGGTACATAATAGCGCCAAGGGTCTTACACGAGACGTGCGGACGTCGGAGACGACAACCTCCCCAAGCTGTTCGGGCAAATGCTATACTACAGTATTGTTCTCCTTAAAATAGGGAAAACCCGATTAGCAAACTTACTACTGAAGCAATATTGGAGACGTAGAAGCATGAAAAAGTTTGCATACATCTATGAAATAACTTATATCAAATGAAAACATGACAAAAGTATGCGTTCTAGAGAATAAAATGTAAAGGCGACAAATTCACAAACGATACTTTAATCAACGCAAAGACACACAGCTGTGCCGGACGGACCCGAGCTGTCCCGACCGCCGGACAGTCAGACAGAAAGGAGTTGGGGAAGCGCTACGGTCACTTCTCCGGGACGACCTTAGTTTTACGACCCGGTGACAATCTTCACCTCACCTATCCACAAGAATTTTGGAAATCGAAGATATTAAAGAGAAACCCTATGCAAAGTCCTTTCTAGATCTGAGCATAGAAATTCAAAATGACAACAGCGTCAGCTCGACGAGACGGATCATTTCGACTTTTCAATCTTAAAGTTTGCTTAGTTGCTTAGGTACTTAGAAGCATATCCAGTTTATTCAAATTTGGTGGGAAAAGGCATTTTGCTTACAATCAAGATTTTCAATGAAGCTTTGACCATGAAAGGTCAGGTTGAGTAAATCCAGAAAAGTTATGGTAGACATTCTGATGGATTTACTCAATTTGACACGTCGCTTGCTTGTGTTTGTTTGTTGTTTAACGCTGCACCCAGCAATATTACAGCTATATGACGGCGATCTGTAAATTATCAAGTCTAGACCAGACAATCCAGTGTTTGACCTCATGAGCATCGATCCACGCAATTGGGATCGATGACATGCATCAACCAAGTCAGCGAGCCTGACCACCCGATCCCGTTAGTCGCCTCTTACGACATGCATGCTCGCCTTTTTCGGCAAGCATGGGTTGCTGAAGACCTATTCTACACCGGATCTTCAGCTTGTTTGTGACGGGTGCACTGGTTATGCATGATACGCTCACCTTTTCGCAAACACATGGTATTATCACCCCTTAATATTGATTCGCCAACACATGTCATGATATAGTCGAACGCATACAATGGACTTTCAGCAGAAATCTCGTATGATTATGGAAATGTTTTTTGTTGCTTTGCAGCTATGGATTTAATTAATTACTTATAATATGCTTTCGATATCACTTCGTAATATTTTGAGATCAGGTAAAATGTCATCGTGCATTAATTCCCCCTTTGCAACAATAGACTGGTTACGAAGTGTTAGATTACGTTTGGCTTTTTCTGAGTTGGGTTTAAATATTTAATGGTTAATGCAGTTGTTGGGAGGATTTGTTTGGGATCTAATTACAACCATCCCAATTATATTGAGTTTTATATATGTCATAGCACTATAAACATCACTGTGAGGAGACGATACTGTCAAAGCGATTTAGGGATGGCAGTATTGATTTGGGTATGTTGAATAAATAACGAGTGTGGGCAGATGTGTGGAGACGGGAGCCCAATCTAAATTGATGGCTAAAAGACACTTTACCACCTTATAATTGAAACTGCAAAAATTCAAAAGCACATGTTTAAACTTAATCAATGCAAAATGCAACGTGATGTCCTGTATCAGCATGACAACGCCAGACGCCATATAGCACGACCTTCTTTGCAGCCACTCCCCAGACTTGTCCCCCCATAAAACACCTCTGGGATGTCATGGATCGTCGCGTTCGACAGCGACCACATCATCCTGTCAACTGACAAGAACTGATCCAGGCCCTCTAAAGAGAATGGCGACGTGACTTCATCAGACAACTGACTTCTGTACGCAGGAGAGTTCGTGCGTCTCTTGTGGCGGAGGGTGGTCATACACGGTATCAATGTGACGTGTCATTGAAGTTGAGCGGTTTAAGATGTGTGTGCCCTTTGTCTTTACCTGGAAAGCTTGTGTTTGCTACCCACCTTTATTCAGGCAACTGTCATGCCAATATCGGATGCTGTATGACAATACTTTTAAATGCAGGATTTCGTTCTTGTCAATACATTTTACTTCATGTATCAATCTTTTGTGGGTTTTAAACTAGAGTGATTGAAAACTATGGTAAACTTTCTTTTGGGCGTCAGTTTAGATCATGCTTAACGTACTCGACATCTGTAACGAGTCTACAGTAGGAATGACCGCTGTTTATAAGGTTTTCCAACATACACCAAAAGGGACTAATTCACTAACTGGAAACGTTAGTTCTCGCACAGAAGCACAGCCGGGATAGCGGTTGGCTGTGTGCGTTTGAGAATGTTCAGATTAATCACGTTATGGCGACGAAGCAGCTGTCCATTTATTTTGTTATTATTCTCCAAATTGAATATAAACCGTCAAAAAGAAACGCATCTATACCCAGATCTTATAGCGTTGTTGATATAACTATTTGCAGCCATACTGTACTTTTCTCAGATACAATGTTTGGACTTCAGAATCATCTGAACACTCTGTCATCGTGATAAATGGACATTAAAAATGTTGTTAAAACTGAATTATTTGTCTTTAGAAAATATGGACCTCTGAAAAAATGTGAGCCTTAGAAATATAGTGAAAGAAATAGTATACAACAAATACGCGCACTGTACGAAATTTTAAGAACCATGAATAGTTTCGGTCATTTAACCTATGAAATGTTTTTCACAATATTCAACATGATATAATACCTATAATTGTGTATGGCTCTGACATTTGAGGTTTCAGGACGAATAAGTTTCAGACGAATGCAATACTGCTTGTAAAGTCTTGTTTTCACAAACTACACCTCATGTCATGGTGAATGGTGAGTGTGGTAGGTATCCATTTATTAATCATTCTTTTATTCTTAAATGTATTAAGTACAGGTTAACACTGATTGGCATGCCTCATTACCTTCTTACTAAAAAGACTTATGGAATGCTATACGTTTTAGATGTGTGAAAAATATTCTTGGGCAACTGGGCAATTAGTCGCTGTCATAACATTAAGAAAGAATGTGCACATTCTGGAACATATATATTGTTGAAGATGAAATCTATGTTATTATAAAATGTTCATTGTATATAGAGCTAAGAAAAAATGTTCCTAAAATATTCTATAACGGTACCTTCGAATCCTTCTGATGTGTGAAAAGCGAACATTTGTTGTAGCTAACTTAATGAAATTCTGTAAACATATGGTATTATTACGTTAACAGAAAACTAAAGATAAATTGCTCATTTTCAGCTGTACTTACTTTGCCTTTTCTGCTTTTGTGTGAAAAATGTATGTAAGCCAATGATCTTGAGTACAATAAACATATCTGAATTAAATTTAAATGTGTCTATATGAATTAATCACTTGGATTTACGCAAAGGAAGTTATCCGGAATTTCTTAGCTCTTCTTGCATTCAACAAATTATTAAAAAAACGAAACCTGAAGTGGAGGACTCATTTATCTGTAAAAGGGTATAAAAACTGTATAATTGTTATCACAATTTTCCCTTAAAGGCATATATTCGAGACTAATTATGTTCTGGCGTTGGAGTTTTGAATTTGGTACTAATGTATGTATCAGTTTTGCTTGTGTGTATAATTTTAGCTCTTTATCCGACCTTTCAAATCTAAAGAGATGACGCATGACTCACGTCGACACCTCACTGATGACCATGTTCCGTTGGGTAGACATGTCACACTACTTCCCTCCTGTAGAAAACCAGGATCGCACGTGTAGTTCATGGCGCTGCCAAAAGGGGTCTCTGCCAGAGGATTGGCTGTTGCTGGTAGTGTAGCGTTATCGATACCGGGGTGGTTCAGGCAACCTGACAATGATATTTATTCAAAAGCGTCAAGCAAACATTGTAAATATTTAGCTTGATTGACAATGTGTTTACCAGGCTCTTTTTCATCTGAAACAATCGACAATAAGGGATAGTTCCAAACATATTTATAATGTTGTTGATTAAAATGTTATGTATTTGATTCAACTCTAATTCGATGGCAATTTATTTGATGTCAGCCACCTGCGTCACCAATATACATGTATAAGCAAAACATATCCCGCATCCGGTCGGTCAAAGGAAAAATGTTTTATTGGTACAAAATAAACGAGTCAACATATTCTAATGAAGCTGAGGGGTTTTTTTTGACAAGAAACATATTTTCTTCAGCATATCTAATCCTGTCGTGTATTAATAGATGGGCTGAGAGTAAGTAAAACTATGCGAGTATAAAACTGGTGTTGCGTTTCTTTATTATGCGTGTGTGAATGCTGATAGAGACAACTTGGAGTAAGTGTCGTTAGACCAATCACTCCTTGACGGAGCCGAGCCGCGGCGGACAAGGCGAGTGGCAATGTCATGGCGTAATTGACCACAAGGACCAGGAACGGCAATACATTTAGTAACTGTATTAGGGTCGCACTGGACACCCGAAAGCAGTTACGACAGTAACAAAGGAACCCTTCGAGACGTCATGTCCTGTATGTTGATTGATTTACTGGACACTTACCGTCTCCAGCTATATACTGGGGTTTTAGGAAGATAACTAGCAGACTATTAGCAAGAGATAACCTCCACACATCTGCTACAAAAGGTTCCCTTGAGCTCACCTGTAATGATGCACTTGTGGTCTACTTTTGAGTTTTCTTGACATCTAGCATTGGGTGGACAGTCGTGGGAAGCACACACTCCTATGACACGCTGTGAAAACATGAACAAACATACACAGCTCACGCCTGCCTAATGGGAATATTAAACTACGAAACACACAAAAAAAATCACAACGGACATGAGTGTCTTGTACTTTGAGGTTTGTTATCGTTGATACCTATGAATCTAATCTGAAACAAAATATCTGACAAATTAAATTGTGGAGGCCTCCATTATGTAAAGAACCACTGACCATGTTAGCAACGTCATAGGGCAGAAGATAATGTTATAATTGAATTCTTATTTGAGGGAATATCAATAATTCGTAACACACTTTAACCTGACATTATGTCAGAGCTAATTGTAGTTATGCACCAAATATCAAGCTGTTTTTAAAAATAACTAATTACAGAATTAACATTTGCTACTATCCAATCTGTCTATTGGTCCAGTCGTCTAATGCGCCGCGATTCGCTGTGCAGAGTTGCGTCCCGTGGGCACGCCAGAAACCTATGATTGTGGGTTCGAATCCCGGTTCGCCCCGATTATGTTTCTAGGTTTGTCAGCACCATACCCGTGCTCGTGGGTTTCACCGAAGTGGTAAACGTCTGAGACCTGCATCACTTCGGGCTTTCCTCCCACATTAAGCTGACACGCCGTGATATAACTGGAATACTGTTAAAAGCGGCGTTAAACACAACTCACTCACTCACACTGGTATGTAACGCCATAATATAGAAGGGTGGACCGTGAGCAATAATCGACCTGTCATAAAACCCGGGAATTAATTTTCTTTTCATTTCATCCTTTTATTGTCTGTTTACATTCACTCACTCACTTTGAAGCATAACCATACCTGTGGCCAGTGACCAATGTCTGAGAAGACAGATGTTGTATCCGATTCCTTTTTTAAGTCACTTGAAGAACTGTTGTATGGTAATAAAGTGCACTCCCCACTTCCATGACTGAAGGCCCTACAGCGGCTCCGCAACAAACATTCCACAGCACACGTGATAAGACCGGAAGTCGCAGTCCGCAGAAAGTAAGGGGAGGTCACTCTTACACCGCGTTGTACTTGGTGCAGCATGTTGACGTCCGTGCATATCTGTGTCGCGGTGACAACGACCACCAGCAACAGCAGGAAATAGTACTGGTGTAGACGATTATCCTTCATCATGTCTGTGCGGTTTCAGGCAGACAACCTTACATGATTTCTGTTGATAAAATAATAATTTTAAGTACCAAAATCAAGTCAGTTTGGGTGTGTTCATGGAAGTGTACACGATTTAAAAGCCCTGGTTAAACAATGCGAACCTGCGAGGTCTTAAAATACTAAGATAACACATGGAAAATAAAATAGAAACACGAGTTAATTTTAAACAGTGAGAGTTCGGGGAAACTCCCAAAAGTGGTTCCGGCGAAAGTTCACACGATCAATTTCCCGTTTTTTTCACATCGCGTGAAGTTTTCTGACCGCGTACACAGGCGTGTGAAGTCGAAATATCACGTGACTACCCATTCGGCCAATCAACATGACAGAAAGAGTGTACGAAATTATTAAGCAGTGGAATCTTAAATAGGTGAGTAATGAACGGTTGTCTCTGATTTGTTACACTTGCAATTTGATACACACACTCATTAAGCATAAAATTGTAAAGGAGCTAACAAAAGATTAGCTGAGACTACCTAACCTGACAGTATGGTTGGGTGTTTGCTTGTGAGGGTGGTGGCTTGGGTGAGTGGGTGGATGGGTTGGTGGGTTGTCGGATGTGAGTTCATGGCGTTTTGAACAGTATGTAATTTATATCACGGTCTGATGTAGTTCGGCAGAGAGGACAAAAAACAAGAATTGGGGGATTTGTTTAAGTACACATTCTAGGTTATGAAATTGACTGATGACACTCTGTAATCTTTGGGCATTTTAAAATATTCAAGATGGCCGCCAAAATGGCCGCTAAAACATGAAAATATCTCTTCCGTGCTAATTGTATGGAATATGGGACTACTTTTGGTGCACATCACTATTGTTTTGCCTTCCACATATTGGAATATGTTTTTCTTAATAAAATAATTTGATTTGGAAATGTAATTAATAAAAAAATAGGCAATGTTGACTATGAAAACCCCCAAATCAGTATATATCGTTATATATATATATTTGTTATTAATATATTATTGAGTGTCAACTGGGATGCTTGTGAATTTTAAAAATTTATCCCCTAATTCTGGGTTGGGGGAAAATATTCATTTCTCTGCCGGACTAATGTGGGGTATTTATTTAAGATTGACGTGCCATGTTCCATGTACATTTTATATTCAATGTTAAGTGATGTTGAGATGTTGGGATGTTCATTGGAAGACATTAAATATGTTTGATATATCTTCATTCGGAACAGTGGGTGAGTGAGTGAGTATGGTTTTACGCCGCTCGTAGCAATATTTCAGCAATACCACGGCGGGGGACACAAGAAATGGGCTCACACATTGTACCCATGTCGGGAATCGAACCCGGGTCTTCGGCGTGACGAGCAAACGCTTTAACCACTAGGCTACCCGACCGCCCTCGGAACAGTGGAATCATTTAAAGTATATTTGTATGTACATAAAAAGATACCCTTTATTTCTGTCTGTTACCTTGGATCATTCCATGAAAATGTGCAGGTACAAGACAGAAGATTTGAGGTAAATGAACAATGTATTATTTGTAACTAATGGGTGATTACCATGTATAAATACATATATGAGACCGAGGAAGGATGAAAATGGCACTTACATTTCAATGATATAGTGTCAAGGAAAACTGACACAATTAAGCCTTGTGACGGCAGCCCTCTGTCTTCACTGCCACACAGGAAAGCGTTGCTGTCAGTGTCTGCAAATCATGCTGACTTGTTACGTCACAAATCAATAAAGTTGTCGGTAGTGTTTGTAAGTGAAAATTGATTCAGACAATTGGATACTTGACGATGCATTCAAACAATGAGACAAGTGGTCTTCTTGAGGGGAGAATAATGTAAGTAGTGCACCACCAATTAAATATTAATCGGGTACATCTGATATTAGGTTGGCTAGTGTTAGAACATGCACGTCAGTGACTGGCACAGTGAAACCTCACCAGTCCGGACACCGTTAATCCGAACAACCTTCAGGAGATGACATTACTCCGTTAATCGGAACAACAGCTATCCATTTTAAAATAGCGACAGGGGATGTGATGGGACATGGAGTGCAGGGGTAGCTCAGTTGTCTAGGCGCTTGTTATTCCTTGTAAAGAGTAACCTTACTTAAACGTACCACAAACCTACGGCCGTGGGTTCGGGTCCAAGGTTCCAGATTTTCAGGTTTGTCACCATATTCGTGTTCATGGTTTTGATCAAAGTAGTAAACCTACATTCTGTATTACTGGGGGCACGGGTGGCCCAGTCGTCTAAAGCGCCGCTATTCGCTGTGCAGAGTTGCGTCCCTTGGGGACGCCAGAAACCTATGATTGTTGGTTTAAATCCCGGTTCGCCCCGGTTATGTTTCTAGGTTTGTCAGCACAATACCCCTGCTCGTGGGTTTCAGCGAAGTGGCAAACGTCTAAGACCTGCATCACTTCGGGCTTCCCTCCCACATTAAGCTGACACGCCGCGATATAACTGGAATACTGTTAAAAGCGGCGCTAAACCCAACTCAGTCACTCACTTTCTCACTTTCTCACTTTCTCACTTTCTCACTCACTCACTCACTCACTCACTCACTCAAAGTGACGTTAAACCAAACTAACTCACTCTGCACTTTGAACACAATTATCCTTATTGTTGAACATCTACACAGTTTCAGCTTCACCACGAACTTGGACCGAAAACATACATGATGTAGTCGGAATCGTACAGTCGACTCTGTTTTGGCAGAGATCTCTTCATCTTCCCGAGGCAAGAGAGTTAACTGACTTTAAAAGTCCAGTTTCCACCCTTGCCGAACTAGGCTGTAATTACTGGGCTCGATCGTAGCGCCACCAGTGGCTATTGCGAGTTATGTCCTTTCTATGCCTCTCCTACTGACCAATCAGATTCAACCTCTCGTATCACTTGCATTTGCTTCAAACAAAACGGTGGGGCCCAGTCAAGACGATCTGATCGATAATCAAGATCTAAATTGTGATAAGACGAGTCTTACATCGTGAAGTGCATCAAATCACGTGAGCACCTTGATTAAAAACATGAATAGATTTAGAAAATATCTGTTGACAACGAGTTAGCGGTGCACATGTTTTGCAAATGCTGCAGTTGACCGAAATCTGCATGACACTTTACGAACCGGATTTCGATTTCGGTGCGCGATTTTGCATAGACTCGTTAGTCCAGCCAAAATGTAACTCCATAATACCAGCCTAGTTCGGCAATGGTGGAAACTGGACTTTTATAGTCAGTTAACTCACTTGCCTCGGGAAGATGGGCTTTTATAGTCAGTTAACTCACTTGCCTTGGGAAGATGAGATCTCTTATGAATATGGGCAGGGTTTTGTTGCTGTCATTTACCCTCAAAACATTCAGACGTCATGTATATTTTACGAACGTTTCGTTTGATTTGTATCGTTCTTGTTGGTACACTTTTCCCATCAAGTTAGCTCACATCCCCAACACTATAATTATGTTAGTAAAGTACTCGCGGAAATGAAAAACAACTTCTTTTTTTATCTCAGATTTTAAATAAATGCAGTTAATATACAAAATATATAAATATTCAAACAACTGAATTGGTACTAATTCGGCCTTGGCACAAATACAGCGTATCAAAGGTTTTTATGTCTTTTTACACGTAAAAGTGTGTAAAAATATGAACAAAACAGACTATTGTGAAACTGAACATAACCAGGTGTTAGTAGATCAAGGTGAATGTCCATGACCTATGACACCTTGACGACAGGTGAAAACAGGTGCTTGAAACCCACGTGCATGTGATTTGTCAGTGGTTAGTGATTTGTCAGTGGCATTGTGGGATAGTGAATCATCGTCAAAATATCAGAACGTAAAAGTAACATATTCCCTTCTCAAACAACAACTTACATGTCATTATTATAATGTACATAAACATAGCTGTTATTTTTATTGTTGTTTTGATCACTTTTTTTCCAGGCTAGTTTGCATAATGCCTATAGCCTGTTTCTGCCATGTCAATTTGGACTTAGTTTTATTTTTTAATGTTGAAAGTGCCTACAAATTACCTCCTGTAAAGTACATTTTGTATTGAGCACTGAGATAAAACTAGCAAATCCAGACTAGTACTTTTCCAGTTGTTTTGTTATTTCGTATTTACATCTACGTAATGCTTTGTGTCGATTATTAAATCCAGCAAAACAGGTTTGTTTCCATGAGTACTTTAGTGTAGTAGTTATAGTCGTAGTAGTAGTGTTGGTGGTGGTAGCAATAGTAGTACCGCTATTAGTATGAATAGTTAGTAATATTAAAAGTATTAGTAGACGTAGCTGTACTTGTAATTGTAGTAGAAGAAGAAGACCTTAGGTGTTCAGGGTCTCTGCGAATGATAACGTTTTTAATTGTGTTGGTCTAATCCAATGTTTAAGAGTATACTTTCTTTTGACCGGCGGTCGTGTTAGGTTGTGGTGGGTCTTCGGCCACAAGAGGGCTACATAACCTTGAGCATCTTAGCAACCGTCTGTGTGTAGTGTGCAAATAAACAAATGGACTTGATATTAACATTTCTTTGCTCTGTACCTTCTAACTTTCATCAAATTAAGCTATTTCGTCTATACAAGGGGCGGTCGGGTAGCCTAGTGGTTAAAGCGTTCGCTCGTCATGCCGAAGACCAAGGCTCGATTCTCGACATGAGTACAATGTGTGAAGCCTATTTCTGATATTGCTGGAATGTTGCTAAAAGCGGCGTAAAACAATACTCACTCACTCACTTACTCACTCACTCACCCAATGGTTGGCAAAGCAACTGTTCCTGTGCGCCACTGTGTTTGTACAGACATTGTGGTTGTATAGACACAATAGAAACTTTCAAACCTTTGTCCGAATTCCTTGAAAATTACGTCTTTGTCCTTAGCCTGCTAATTATATTGGCTTGACGTGCAGGTATAATGAAAAATAAGAGATTTGTCTACATCATTATGTAGGCAGTATGATGTTCAATACAGTGGCCGAGAAAAAACAGTGTGCGTTAACGAGGAGACGTGGCTTAATAAGCACGGCCGGTTTAAGCCTGCAAGTGAGAAGTGAGTATACAGGTTCCCCGAAAGTCGGGTCGGGCCGGGCAAAGACGGGCCAACGTTATTATTTTCTAATAACTCCATTATCGACGACCATATCTATTTATTATTCATGCAACATACACACATGACAATATTAATCAATCACAAACCAAAACAATGTGTAGCATAATGATGTTATTGCGAGTAAATCGTTTGAAAATCAGGAAATCAAGCGATTTGTGAACGAGGTTACATGTGTGCTGGCGATAAAGTACCTCACTCTGAGAGCGTGGGTTCGAATCCCGGCTGGGACCCAACCCAAAAAAGTAATAGAATTTGAACTTTACTCAGAAAGTGTTATCGCAATATAACATTTCATACATTTGACCACTTTCCAATATCAAATACTTCTATAGAATAGTACTGTCTCTGAGTGAAGGCCACTTTATGGTGCCATGAACGCCACGGTGCGTTGTATTTGAATCAGACACGTTTGTTAAAGTGAACCTAACAGCTCTTAATACAGCTCTATGCTGATGACACCGATATCATAAGTGATAACCGAAAACACGAAAATATTTTTAAGAAAGGGATCTCACATTCTTAATTTCAATAATTTCTGTGTTCCTTATATATTATTTTCAAATATTGACAAAAGGCCATTTTAACATGAAATCAAGTTACATTAATTTGATAAAGGGAATAATATGTTTTCATATGTGTTTAACTGTCTCAGTCGTTATCGTCATCAGGTATAAATCAATGATTTTGCAGGCGATGATCTTTGAAAGACGGGCCAAATTATCAATGCTGACAAACACCTAATTGCCACAGGTGTATTGGTGTAAAATACGTAAATGTAAGGCTAATGACAGGCTAATTGCGCTGCTTACATCTGATTTCAAGGTCTTAGAAATGATAGAGATGAAATACACGCCAAGCTTACACAACGTTATTGTATTCTTGCCAGGTTGAGGTTTTATAACAAGCAACACGCCTTCTTTTCGTGTATCCTGGAATTTCCATGTACCGTTTGTAAACATCTACTATATACCTATGGCTAAATGTTCTGTTTGATGGATGCAGTAAAAGTAGCCGTGTAGCTATCGCAATGGAACCGTTACAAATCAGGAGTATGTCACTTTCTGTACAAAAATTGTCATAGATCCAGTCGTGTCAGTCGTTTATATCTAGCCTCAATCAGAACTAGAAGCTTGTGTTCCGCCCCAAGACGTACAACACGTGTATATATGTCAACACCCATAGTTATATGTATGTGTAGACCGTCCAGACCATTTCCTGACACCGTCTGCTGCAACACTCATTCCCGAGGCTTCAATAGGTTAGCTTTTATCACAATCTTTTTTTCAGATCAATTCGGAATAAAAAGTATTCCTTTGATCAGTTGCAGCTTGCCTCTGAGCTGAAACATCCATGTGTGGTGCGTGCTTTTGCAACTGGACATCTTGGTATATCTTACTAACGTTTCTTGTGACCTTTCTTCACATATTTCTGAATATATTTCTTTCATATTTCTTCAGATCGCACTGAACATATATGTTGCAGGTGTGTTCATTCTGGTCCACTATATTCAAGATATATAATCATAACAAAAAACTAGTACCATCATCGATTTACATACACGACTCCCTCTCATATTGAAA